CCTTATCCCCTGTCGTGCCTTGCTCCTACGACTTATATATATATATATTTTTATTATTTATTGGTGAGGTTTGTATACATATCAAGTTTAAACAATCACGGTAAGGTGCACCTCAATATCTCATTAAAATATGTATTTTGGGTGTTGAAACCAATGATTTAAAAATCGGCGAGTCGAACCGGAGGCACAGCCCGTGCCAATTCCAGCACAAAATCGGGAACCGTCCTGTTTTAGAGCAGAACCGCCGCGTTCCCACCCGGTTCTGTCTGGTTCCGTCCCGGTTCTAGCGGTTCCCTCCCAGTTCTAGCTTCAAAAGCACCTTCACACGTGTGTACAAGTCACGCGTGCGACACGCACCGCTCCCACACGTGTGTATGTGTGACACGAGCGGTACACACTCCCACACGTGTCATACGAACATGCACGCGTGCACGTGTGCACCACACATACTCCCACACGTGCCACACACAATCCCACACGTGTCATACGTGCGGCACGTACATGCACGCGTGCACGTGTGCACATGTGCACCGGTTCTAGCTGGTTCAAGCCTCAAAAACACTTTCACACGTGTGTACGCGTCACACATGCGACACACAACACTCCCACATATGCCACACGTGCAACGCGCACATGCACAGATGCCCTAGTGTTTTCACACTTGTGTTTATCTTCCAATTACATAGTTATTTATATAACATATTTGAATTCTCATCTTTCGATGTGGGATAATTCCCAAACATCATTAAATGAAAACATAATGTTAAGGAGGCATGATGGTTATTACTAATGTTATTTGATTTGACTTCTCAAGTTCGAATCCCCTCTTAGGCCATATAATAATTTATGCTTTCTTGAGCTAATTTGTTGTTCCCCTTTGGACATATAATAAATTAAAGTGTTACTTCCAAAATTTGTACGTATTTTATTAATTTTTACATTGATAACCAAATCTTTTATTTTATTTATTAATTTTTACATTATAAAACATGTAATGTACTATTTTTCTTACAGTTGTCAATAATACATTTTAAATTAGATAATATTATACAATATTTTTATTTTATTATTATTTATCGAATAAAATAATTATAAAATATAAACTAATAATTATAATTTCAGTATATAATATTATAATTAGTTAGGTTGTAATAATTTTGGATTATAGTTAGTTAGGCTGTAATAATTTGGGTTTTTTTAGCGGATTAGGGTTTTTCGCCAAAACGAGATTTTAATGGCCATTCTTTCATTGATTTAGTCGACTCTTTATTGTATTTCATGTATAATTATATATTTTATCCATGATAATTCTATGATTTTTCTTTTATGTGATGCAAATTTAATACTTAAGGTTATATAGGGAAAGAGCATCTCAATATTCACAAATTGATGAAAAAAATGAAAGTTAACAATGTAGTACCCTCATTTCTTATTGGATTCCTAAAAAATAATATTTATAATAAATTTTAATATTTTTTTTTCGGATTTTTTTGAAGCTTTAATCCGACCGATTCAGCCGATTCCTGATCCGGATCGCCGATTCGTCGATCCGGATCGATTTTTTAGGTGCCCGATCGGTTCCGGATCGACGAATAGGCGATCCGGATCGAGAATCGGCTGAATCAGTCGGAT